AATTATTTTTTCGCCTCTCTCAATAGGAGCAGATAAGTTCGCCTATCGTCCGGTTCATGCTCTTCCCGGAATTATTGAACAAGAGTTGCATTGTTTCCTGTTTAGGATTGGGGTTTCCGGTTCCTTCTAAAGTCTACTTCAACTCTATACATCTAACGTTTCCGCCTGAGCTCTGAATTTTTCTTCACTAATTAAATCTTGACCTCTTCAAGTCTAGAATTAGCTTTTTTCCCCTCTTGTCGTGCCCTTCCTTAGGCTGATACAACTCGACACAGTAACCCTCTACCTTGAGTGTCTCTTTAGCCTTGTATTCAGAGACCATCAGTTAAATAAAAAATAAAATAATTCTTGAAATGTGTTTCTGCAGTGAAAGTTTTACACCCGGTTTCTTTCCAACTCTCCCACAAGATTCCTATCCCCTCTCCAGGACCAATAAAACTGTCAAACTGACCAGGGGAATTCAGAGCAGCATAGATCCATCCAGCTCTTATCTCAAATAACAACTTAAAAGAGACTGTTTGAATGTTAAAAGGAATGTTAAAAAATTCATAAAAAAAAAAAAAAAAAAACTACAGATAAAAGTTCATTTTCTCCATCAAGACATTCATTTCTGTAGTTGACTTCTACCAGCAAGCAGAAATATTTCTTCCCCTGATAATGGCCATTTTGGCCGAAACTAGTCGAGGAATCTAAATGAAATATTAATAAACAAACGAAAGAATATTAATCTACAACCCAGTGTGTCTGAAGATTTTAATTTTTTAATATTTTTTATTGTTCAATATATATATATATATATATATATATATATATATATATATATATAAAAAGTTTCAAATTAAAAAATAATAATGTTGCGTTTTTTATGAAAGTATTTATTTATTTATATATATATTTGATATTTCAAATTGTCCTCAATTTTTCATCAGAAATAACTGTTTGTTACAAATAAATTAAAATTACTGTTTTTATTTATTTATTTATTTTATTCATTGTTTAAAATTTATTTGTAACAAACAGTTATAAAATCACTACAAAAATTATCAGGTGATGGTGTTGAATGTAGAATAAATAGTTTTAAAAGGACCTTTTAAAACTCTTTATTCTACATTTGATAAGACTCCAGATGTGTTGAAACAAGATGGCTATTTTTGTAGTGATTTTATTACATGTTTATGTTATAATTTTCAAATAAATTACATTTGCTCTACTCTGTATTGAGCACTCTTTTAAGGATAGTATTTTTGGGTATTGGAATTTATTTCATACACACCAATATATATATATATATATATATATATAAATATAAATAAACAGAAAAAATTGTTAGTGACACGTCAAGCATATGCATATAAAGAATTATTGGTTTATTTTACACTATATATAACACCGACGTGACGAGACATTTGATTGCCTCAAGCCGGGATCGAAACTCGACAGATCTCGCATCAGTCGGAGATTTTACCCCTAAGCCATTGGTGCAATCGATATGATGTATACTTATATCAATCTAACATGTTTCACTTTTAATTAAGTTTCGTCAGAGATAAAAAGAAAACAAATAAAAAGACAGAAATTTTCATTTTATCATCCTCTCAGATTCCGAACCATATTTGATCCTATAATATATATATATATATATATATATATATATATATATATATATATATATATATATATATATATATATATATATATATAAATATATGTTTAAAAAATGGATATAAAAAAAAACAGTAAAGTAAAATATACGGAAAAACAAACAAATCTTATATACAATTATGCTGTTTTAATGTTAATATAATGTCAACGTCGGACGTTTCGGTCTAATAGACCATCTTCAGGACATATTCATAAAACGTAATTGAATATGGTCTATATTAATTATGTTTTATGAATATGTCCTGAAGATGGTCTATTAGACCGAAACGTCCGACGTTGACATTATATTAACATTAAAACAGCATAATTGCATATTAGGATTTTTTTTATTTTTTTTTAGATTTTTTTATTTTATATATATATATATATATATATATATATATATATATATATATATATATATATATATATATATGGGGGTTATTAATTGAGCTCATTAATTGTCTATAAACTAAAACGTAATTTGGGATAAAATAATTGCACTGGTTACCTGGATGTCTGCTTTATTATTTTATAAACACTCCTTTAAATTTAAATATGAGTTATAAACACTCCTTTAAATACTCTGACTTGCAAATTGAAAATTGAAAAAGAAAAAAAAACCTTTGCTGATATGGAAGGTTTTGTTAAGAGAAACATCGGAAGGTTTGTTAAACCGCCGTTTGTGTCTTAGTTCCTTATCGTTAAACCGCAGTTTGTGTCTTAGTTCTTTATCGTCTTTCTTTATTTTTTATTTTATTTTCTCTTCACATATTATTCACACTTTCTCTGTATAGAACGTAAGAAGATATTGACATCAAATTTGGCTGTAAAAAAAGTGCGTTTTATACATGAAAAAATACTGTACCTACGAAGGTTATTTTCATTCATTCTAGTTTAAATTATCTAATTATCAACATATTGTGAATTTCACGCTTCAGCGTGAGATTCAGAGCAAATTTATATATATATATATATATATATTTATATATATATATATAAATTTGCTAACGTCTATGACCACAATGTAATGATGAAAACAATAGTTGGAATAAAACAATTATATAATGACAATTCGTCATCTCAAAAATCAAAGACTAGTCTTTCTCTCTATTTTTTATCTCTCTCTCTCCCCCCTTTCTTTTTCTCTTTCGCTCTCACTCATCCTCTCTCTCTCTTTCTCTCTCTTTCTATCCCTCTCTTTCTCCCTCCCGTTTTCTCTCTCTTTCTTTCTCCCTCTGTTTTTCTCTCTCTCCCTCTCTCTCTTCCTCACTCTTTTTTCTCTCTCTTTCTCCCTGTCTCTTTCTCCCTGTGCCTTTCTCTCTCTTTCTTCCTCTCTTTTTCCCCTGTCTCTTTCTTTCTTTTTCTTCCTCTCTTTCTCTTTCTCGCTTTCTCTTTCTTTTTTTAGATATAATCTCTCTTATTTTTTCCCTCTCTTTCTCTCTCTTTTTCCCATTCTCCTTCAAATTTTTTCTCTCTCTCTTTTCTTTTTTCTTTTCTCCTCTCTATTTCTCCCTCTCCTTCTCCCGCTATCTCTCTCTTTTTCTTCCTCTCTCTTTCTCCCTCTCTCTTTCCCTCTTTTTCTCTTTTTCTTTTCTACAGTGTCTTTTTTTTCTCTCTCTCTCTTTCTTGAAATTTTTCTCTTTTTTTCCTCTCTCTTTCACCCTCTCTCTAACTCTTTCCCTCTCTCTCTCTTCCTTACTTTTCTCTCTCTTTCTCCCTCTCTCTCTTTCACCCCTCTCTCTTTCCCTCTCCCTCTCTCTTTCTTCCTCTCTTTCTCCCTCTCTCTTTCACTCTTTCTTTCTCTCATTTTTTTTACTCTTTTTCTAACTTCTGGAGTTCCTTTATTTGTTCTGTATACATGCTATTCATACTTTCGGTGTATAGAACGCAAGCAGATATTAACATCAAGTTTTTGTGTAAAAAAATGCGCCCTATACAATCTAAAATGTCGGTACCTACAAAGCTTATTTCCATTTAGTCGAGTTTAAATTATCTAATGGGCATTTTTTTTTATGTTCCTGAATTTGAAGAATTGAAGAATGAAGAAACGGCATAAAAGACGAGACCGAATCTCAGACGTTAGTTAAGGTTCTTTTTTTTTTTTACTTTTTTATTTTCCTTTTTGTTGTTGTCGTTGTTGTTGTACAGAAGAATTTCCATTTAAAGAAAGTACGTAATTAGAAAATCTGTCATACGCGTTTAATGCTTCTGAAAAGAGTGATAGGGATGTTAGCCAAGAAAGACACGGTTATGAACCAAAAGAGGCGGGGACGAGTGTTCTAGAAACGGATAAAAACTTTGCCTCCAAAGACACAAGGGAAAGAGAATAGAAACGAATTAGGGTGGGTTATAAAAAACAATAGGGGGGTTGGGGTACAAATTATTTAATAAAATCCGTCAAGTTCAAAGGGAATGAAAGAATTTTAGCGGAAAGTTATCGCAAAAACACAAGATTCGAAGGAGAAAAAAAGAAATAAAAATAAAGGATAGAAAAAGAAAAAAAAAACAAAGAAAAAGACAGTGAAAGAAAAAAAAGAAAGAAAAATACACGAGAAAGAAAGAAAAAAGAAGGGTAAAGAAAAAGGAAGAAAACGTGTAAAGAAAAAGAAAAAAGAAAAGCAATGAAGGAAAAAGAATGAAACAAAAACAGTAAAAGAAAGACAAAAAGAAAGAAAAAACAGTGAAAGAAAAAAAAATTAAATAGAAGAAAGTAAACGAATGGAAGAAAGATGGGGAAAAAAGAAGAAAAACATTGATACAAAATGAAAGAAACAAACAAAAAACAGAAAAAGAAAGAAAGAAAAATATAAAAGAGAGACAGCGAAAGAATAAATTAAACATAGAAAGAAAGAGAGATAAAGAAAAAAAAGAGAGAAAAAAAAAACTCATTTTTAAAAGAAGCACAAGCCAGTAAAAGAGAGAGAGATGAGACAGTGAAAGTCTAAAAAAAAGAAAGCAATGAAAGAAAGAATAAAGGAGAAAGAAAGAAAAAAGAAAGACAAGAAAAACAAAGAAGGAAAGAGAAAAAAAAACAGTGAAAGCAAAGGAATAAAATAAAAGAAAGAAAAACGGAAAAAGTCAGTGAAAGACAAAGAAAGAAACAAATAAAAGACAGAAAAAAGAAAGAGAGAAAATAAAGACGATGAAAGTATAAAATAAACATAGAAGGAAAGATAAAGAAGAAAGGAAGACAGAAAGAAAGAAGCAAACGACAGTAAAAGAAATGAAGCGAAATAATAAAAGAAAAAAATAGACAAAGAAATAATAAAAGGCAATGAAAGTGTTTTTATTTTCACTGTCCTTCTTTCTTTCTTTCTTTCTTTCTTTATATATTTTCTCTCTTTCTATGTTGGCTTACGGCCATATTATATTGAAATAGTTTCTCATACGATCACAGAAGTTGAGCAACATCGAGCCTGGTCAGTACCTAGATGGGTGACCGCTTGGGAATACCAGGTGCAGTAAGTTTAGATGTGCGGGTGGTGTAATGCATAATGGAGAATTTTAACCCTTCTGCCTGAGCTCCTGAGTCAAAATTTGTAAATAACTGGTATGTAATGTTTCCCGGTAAATATAAAAATAGTTACAAGTGCTTACCCACCATTCAACCGGAAGCTGGGAATTACGTCATTTTTTTCTATCACCGTTAAACCGGTGGCAGGGCATTAAGTCATTTTACTCTATAACCGTTAAAACTGGTGATTGGGCATTAAGTCATTTTTGTCTACCATCGTTCAACCGGTGGCTGGGCATTGTGTCATTTTTTCTCTACCACCGTTCAACCGGTGGCTGGGCATTAAGTCATTTTTCTCTGCCACCGTTCAACCGATAGCTGGACATTAAGACATTTTTATCTACCACCGTTCAACCGGTGGCTGGGCATTATGTCATTTTTCCCTACCAGCGTTCAACCGGTGGCTGGGCATTATTTCATTTTTCTCTACCACCGTTCAACCGATAGCTGGACATTAAGTCATTTTTATCTACCACCGTCCAAACGATGGCTGGGCATTAAGTCATTTTTATCTACCACCGTTCAACCGATCGGTGGGCATTATATCATTTTTCTTTACCACCGTTCAACCGGTGGCTGGGCATTATGTCATAAAGCGGTGTTCAGAGCTCAAATGATTAATAGAAACATCGAGACATTGCAGCTGACATGCTAAACCGCCATTTGTAATTTCTATCTTAGCAGCTTTTTTCGTTTATTTATCCGTTTATTTTGTCCGTTTATATTCTATTCATTAGTTCGGTGTATAGGTCGCTAGCTTGAGATTAAAAAGAGCGTTTTATACATCGAAAATACATTACCTACAAAAGTTATTTTTATCTGATCAGCATGTTTCTCTTATCTAATGTCATGGAAAAAGTTTCATCCAATTTTTGTATCATTTTTTTTCTTTTTCTGTTGTTTCTCATTTTTCTCCGTATTCGTTACGTGATCCAATGTGTAATAGACGAGCGAACACATTGAGAGTTACTTTGCATCATTCAGGAGTTATGGCGCCAAGAACAAAGCTGTACAAATTGTGATAAGGGTTGCGTTATCAGAGCAACGCAGCGTAACTCCAATCAGTGCATGATTCCTTTGAAGGCAAAACAGACGATCAGATTCACAAAGAGACAATCAGATGAAAAATTTAAAGTTCGGATTTAGATTCCTAAAATGGATGGGGGGGCCGGGACAGAACTTCCCGCCATCATACCTACACTCGTCTGCATTTTGTACCAAAAACTTCCATAATTGGTTCAAACAAAACTTTATTAATCCCATATTCCCTTAGTGTCAGTTTAAACTTACACCTTACGGTAGCCATTTTGCTTAAAGTTCAATTTTTTTTTAATTTCAATGAAACTTTGAAATTTCCAACATATTTCAATGAAATTTTCACTTTACCGTCGTCGTCGTCGTCGGCTTTATCTCATCTCTAAGAATTTAATTTCTTCTTTGCTGATCGTTTCCTTTATAATGATAGCGTTGAAACTACATTCACTGCCAACGTGGAGGTTCAGGACCAGAAGCTTCCAGTTTCACAAAAAAATTCTGCCGTTTACCATTTTCTATCGACGTTTGGCTTTGCAAGAGTTGGTTGGGGATGAAAGAAAATGGCACGAATTTGTTTAAGGTGGACCGCAACTTGTAAGAAATTGAGTCACCTGATTTCCTGACCTTCCTCTGCGGCACATATGGAATGAGACCTGCAAAATCCACTTATAAAATTGCAACCAGACTGCTTCTGGCTTTATAATTTCAAGTGGCGCCTTCTGTAGCTTGTCCTTCATGCGTAGCCCTCTTTATCCGATGGTTCAACCCTTGAGATCTGTTGTAATCGTCATCCACTTGTTTCATCGTTGGGGGTCTTTGGGGTTGGTTGTCTTTTGTCTGTGACCTCATCTTCGACGTTACCGCCAACAGTGCCCCCCTCCCGCCACCAGGAGTTTAGAACTAATGTTGATTTTCGAAGCGTAGCTTAGGTGTGGCACAAGGACGAAAGCATGGGGTAGCCAGTGATCGAATTCACTATTCAGTCATAACTGCTTCAGCGAGACAAGTTTGTTAACCATTACACCACGCCGAGGTGCCCAGAGTTTAGAACTAATAAGCATAAATAGGTTATATGGTGAGAATCAGATATTTTTTTTTCTCTCCGTATATTGTTTACAGTTTTGCTTAAGGTTCGTATTTTCTTGATTTCAAATGAAAAGCTGAAATTGTTCCGACATATTTCAGTGAAATTTTCTCTTTAAAAAATAATTAAAATTTAGATATATAAAGAAAAGAAAATGTGTCAGTTTTAAAATGACTGCAGGTGGATATGCATCTATCACAATCAGCTGCATTTCTACTAACAACGCAGAAAAGGATTTACAAAAGACAAACGCTTTTTAATACACTGTCCATCGATTACTTACGATCATGGCCCTTTAGGTTTCTTTATTATCTGTGAATCGCCATAACTTATTGGGAAATTTTTATATACCATTGCCCTCTCCCACGGTCTGGTATTCAAAGTTGTTTCTTTTTCTAGGCGGGCTACTATCGGGGGCTAGAGAACCTAGACTTGAGAACCGGTCTATGCAGTTATTTACCCAATGGAGTGGAGTGATCTTACCTTTCTCAAGGGTATTAGTACGAAAGTGGGTACAAGGGATTAGACAAGAATTTGAACTCGGCTTTCAGAATACAGCTTCCATTCTGATAACAGCACACCGGGACATTAGAAAAATAAATTATTTGGAAACTATCGTTTAGTGTTGCAATATACATACATACATATATGTTATGACCGACGGATAGCAAAAAGGTTTGTTCTCCGCGTAGAATTCGTTTCTTCAGTTCCTCGTCGCCACTGTTATGGTCCAATATCCTCGCACCACAGTTAGGGTCCAAGGTTAGAACCAAGGAAGAACAACATGAACACAAGAGTAGAATAACAAAGACATATTACAACAGAAATGTAGTACAAGAAGTTGAAGGTGTTAGTAATGATTGTCCGTTTGGTTTAGAGTGAACTAATATTGTCTTGACTCGTTACACCATTCATTCGGTATCCAACCCCCCCCACGAGGGTTGCATGTGGCACAAGGCCGTGTTTAACGTGGGTTTCCCGAGCCTGTAGGCTTGGCCAAAAATATACCCTTTGAACCCGCCTAGACGGGTTCAGGGCCTGTCTACCTCCCCGGACGAAACCCTGCCCTTCGGCAAAGCTTCGTCCGGGTTCCTCTCTGCCAAAGCAGAGAGTTTAACAGTCATGACCTAGGGCTCGTTACACCATTCATCCATTATACCTCTTGAGAGGCGCAGTATTTATAGTGTCAGGAAGAGTCCATTATCTTTATAGGTAAGTTCCCATAACAATATATATATATATATATATATATGAAATGGACAAAGTCCGACAATTATTTTCAGACATTTTTTTATACGTTCTTTTTATAGATACAAATAGTTAAGTAAATGCTCTTTTTATAATAAACAGTATTAACAACATTTACCGGCCTGGATGTCCGAGAAATTTTCATAAAAAATATGGTTCCTCCGACAGAAATCGAACCTGTATCCTATACGGAACAGTCATACAACCTGACGTGCTTTTACCGATTGAGCCACAGAGGAGGTCGATTTTACTGTTTTTAAACTACAATTCTCCATGATTCTCTCGTGTACATTCATATGTGCTCGATGGGTATCCAAATGTAAACAAATGACGTCATACATTATGAAATAGACAAAGTCCGACAATTATTTTAAAAAGAACGTATAAACATATAAAAATGTCTTAAAATAATTGTAGGACTTTGTCTATTTTATAATGGCTTTAATTTAATTAAAGTTTTAATTTAAATTTATACTTAGGTGTCGTTTTCTCGATGCATAATTGTAAGCTCCCCTCCCCCTGTATGTAAATGATTTTCTCGATGAAAACATTATTCATTCTGAAGATGTCCTTTCGGAGAACGGAAGCCATAACAGGGATTTTTTTTTAATTTCATTTTGTCATTCAATTACCCAACATGCAATTATTTCTGGCGTCTGATATTTGTAGATGCATAACACAGCAGACATTTTCAGTTTAAATTTAAAATAATTTCAGCAATTCTCAGGATGTATAATTATGACCGACATTTGTTGTATTCCTCTCCTTCCGCTAAAGACACATACGCATAAACACACACACACACACACACACACACATACACATATATATATATATTATTCTATTAATAGAAAATTATTTAGTCTGAAAAAGTCCTTTCGAAGAACGAAAAGCGTCATAATTTTTTTTTTTATATCTGTCTATATTTCTGAGATGAGGTATTATGTACACTATTTACATTATTCGGACTATTGTCCTCATATTTGTCGCCATATTTATCACAACGTTTCGACCTTTCAGTATCTGTCTATATTTCTGAGATGAGGTATTATGTACACAATTTACATTATTCGGAATATTGTCCTCATCTTTGTTTCTATATTTATCACAACGTTTCGGCCGTTGCACACTCCGGCCTTCTTCCGGTGGTTGGAATGTCGAACTGAACCCTTTATTTAGCTTACTTGGGTAGACTGTTCCACGTACCATGTCTAATGGATGTCAATTATCAGTTATCTCCTGTTAATTTCCCTTTCCATGTTCTCCACTGCCTTAACCAGGTATTGAACTCACACTATTTGGGTCCTGTCACTAAATCTAACCAATGCCATTATCCACTGTGCCATGTGTCCTTAATTGAATTTCTGGGTATTATAAACCTAATGTTTCAATAACAGTTTTTTACCAGAGCTCATATTGCAATTTTTGCTGTTATCATTCAATTTTTTTACCAGAGCTCATATTGCAATTAACGTTGTTATTATTGCTTTTCTCTGGCACTCCTTATTACTGTTTCTCATATTGTATTCATTTCTATGCTTGGTCGGCTCAGGAGATTTTTGTGGCCTAGCATATGTGCTGGT